ATTCTCTTGAATAACACGTGGCTTATCGTCAAAATGAACTGTTAGAATGACTCATATTGAACTGATTGTTAGGCGTTATTTGCATTTCTGTTTCAATTCTTAGCTGTTCTCCTAATTTCTATCTACCAACCTTGAAGTAATTCTGTCACAGGAAGTGCGGGTGGATTATGTTTGATGGACCCGCGGACACTCATTGTTTCCTCAACTGCATATGACGGTGCTCGAAATGTGATTGTTACTCGATCGTTCTTTTAATTCCAAATCTTTTCTAAGCCTTAGTATTTCATTTAAAAGGCTAACTTGAACTTCAAATTTCTATCATAAGCGGTCTAACTCTCTTATGACAGAATCACGATACTAATTTGTATGTTGCTTTAACGCTGGCGTAGGGCACAATTGGCAATTAGCCAAGGATAGTTCTTACAATGATGGACACATGTTTGGCGGGGTTGTTTAGTACGCCGAGCTCACTTACGCTATCCATTTGTCTAAGGAGGGCGAAACAAAGTTTTTTTCTTTTTTTGTTCTCTAAATTTTTCTCTCTCTTTACGGCAGATTTACGATACAAATTCGACGTTGTTTCAACGCTGGAGTGGGCTAACAATTCTTCAATTTTTGCATTTTTTGACAACGAATTAAAGTACCAAAGAAACACTAGGTGCTTTTGCACGCTGTAAAATTACATAAATTTTTGATCTGCAAACGCTAATGGAAATATCTTACGATCTGTTTGTGGTTTTGGTCCTAGCTAGTACATCAAAATAATATTTCAGGCCAAGAAAAGATTTGGAAACAAAAAAAATGCTGACAATGTAATGACCATGTTTCTTTGGGTTACATGAGCGATTTTAACTAATTTTCTGAATTCTAGGAAAAACATGCTGTTCTGCTTATTCTCTATACTCTGTATATTATTCTGTATGTTATGGTCTTTTTTTATTGAGATAAGCACTTTTTTAAACTATTTCTTCACCTATGGCTTATCTACTATTTCTTTGAGTAGTACGCGTTCGGTTTACTTACAACTTAGTTATAGTGGGATTTAGGTGCCACCTTCGCTGTCATGCTCCATATCTTCTTTGATCAGATACGGGCCACCTCTAACTGCTCAACTCCCACACCTACGACCAGCGGATCTTCACTGACTAATATTCAAAAAGTAGTTCCTCTCACTCCAGCTTACAACTACTTCAATCCATCACCTCGAAATCCACTACCAGCCAAGATACCTCCTCTACGATCGAAAGCTCCCTATGCTTCTCGAATAGCGCGATGGGTTCGTCCAGCACGATCCATGACTGCCATACTAATTACCTTTACTTTATCAGTTGCAATAGGCATGAAAACAGCTGTATGTATAGCTCAATACGTGGAAAAATGTTGTATCGCACCAATTCCAACGTGTTCTTGTTCATATTTACTGCATGATTCGATACGTGAACGTATTCCTAGGGATTGAATGGTATGTGTACGTACTGTACTTTCAACGTGACTTCATTATGCGACTCGAATGAAATGTCTTTTTCTAAATGATTTCCTCGTCGAGACCAAGATTGTTAAACGTCTTTATTGTAAAAATTTCGGCCTCTCCGCCTCTTCAAAACCAAAGTCGAAAGTACATACGAACTGCGACTCAATAGTTTATGGGGCTAAAGGCAGCCGAAGTGAGACAACAAAT